TGGTTTGACAGAAACTTCGCAAACAAGTTTAATATCTTCGCCATCTAGTGTTTCGACGCGTTCGGATTTTGTTTTAATAGTCGGTGGTTCGCCTTTCGGTTCTTCAGCTAAATTGAGAGACAAAAGACGGAATTAGATGCGTATTAAATTTACCAAATGAATGATTTTTCATAAATCCCATTTAGGAAAAGGAGGGTTGAGCGAGAGAATATCATTATGAAGTCACTAGCCATATATTATATATTTTACGGTAATTTTCTTAAACATGCGAACTCTGTGTCTCCGAGTTGCACGCTGAAATTTGGTTTTTCGCTGCAGCCAGTCAAAAACCGATATGAAAAGTACTGGATAGGTTTGAATGAGCATCGTAAAACCAAATTTCAGCGTGCAGCTCGCACACACAGAGTTCGCATGTTTATGAAAATCGCAGTAATAACAATACTGAACAACAAGATGGTGGATCAAGATGAAGTCCTTACCTTTCACAGTGACGTTGAATGGTTTGCATATCGATGTACCAAGATCAGTCTTTGCTTCACAAGTGTAAATTCCAGTGTCTTCAACTGAGACTGATTTTATAATCAGAATGTATGTATCTCTACGTCTTTGAAAGAACAAGTTGCTTGTTTCAAATATGCGTTTTCCATCCTTGTACCAATTGACTTCGGGGTTACCTTCGATTGTAAAGCTAAGAGTTGTTTGCTGACCGGTAGAACAGGCGACTGGTGCAATATCTTCAGCATTGAACTTGAATTCCTTTTCCAAGATTTCGACCTTCTTCTCCTTAACTCCCAAATAAGATCGTAGAGTAGTTTTTCCCGCTTCATTGGAAGCAATACAAGTGTACGTTCCCGAGTCTTTTCGGGTTAGGTCACTGATAATCAATGAATACTGATTGTCCTTCTCTACCTGGGTTATTTTGTAACGCCCACCATCTTTTATTTGTTGCTCACCCCGAAACCATTCTACGACAGGTCGGGGATCCCCAGTGAAGCGTATATCGAACCTTGCTTTTTCACCTTCAACTGCCTCAGTGTCCATAATCCGTCCAATCAATTCAGGTCTTATGCAACGTTTCTTGACTATCAATTTGGTCTTACTCTGAGCTGAACCAAACTCATTTCGTACATCACATATGTAAATGCCTTCATCATCAAGTCTGGTTTTATCTATTTCTAACGTGCTGAACTGACCGTCATAATCATCGAAAAACCGATCATCGTCATCAATAGGTTTACCATTTTTGAGCCACACCACTGTAGGACGAGGTTCCACAGAGACTTTACAAACAAGCTTAATGCTTTCTCCCTCTGTTACCGTGACGGGACCTATTTCAGTTGTTGGCAAAACAGGTGCTGCGCCATGATGCTCGGCAGCTGAGAGTTAAAAAGAGCGCTTTGTGTTAAAAGCGATAGGCAAAATTAAAGATGGAAAAAGGGAAAAGTGAAATGAAATGTGTAGTAAAATGTTGTAAAATCCAGAAAGCAAATAAACTTTTCCAGAAAGAGGAGAAGGGAGGAAGGCAGGGCCTACACAACCTACTTCACTTCCGTTTCTCGTAAGAAAACCAGATTTAAAAAACAAAACAAAGGTACAACTAAATAAGAGGAAATGAAACGTAAACAAGCCTTTGTGAAGTAGAATTTTCGAGCGTGGCTATATAACACAATAATAACCGTCATACCTTCAACTTTAATATCAAAAGTCCTGAACGATATTCCATGTTTATTTCTTGCTTCGCACTTATAAGTACCAGAATGATCCATGGAGGCTTTGTTGATAACAAGGAAGTAAGAATCACCACGTGACTGGATGCTTAGTCCTTCAAATCCATACAAGGCTTTGCCATCCTTATACCACGTCACTAAGGGTAGTGGATAACCTCGAATGGACATTACTAAATTTATCTCATCACCCTCGCGAAAAACAAGAGTTTCTTGAACGTCCCTTTGGTCAAAGGCTGGTGAGATTTGTTTTTCAAGAACTTGTAGAATCGCCTGAGAAAATGCTTTACCAGCACYGTTGGTTGCAATACACTGGTAGGTACCATGATCTTCCTCAATTACATTCGATATTGTTAAGACATAACGGCCTTCACCTGCGTCCGACATTTTGTACCTTCCACCGTCCCAAAGTTTGTTCAGACCATGATACCATTCAATTTTAGGCTTCTCGTAACCTGTAATGTTCACCTCAAATTTGGCTTCGTCTCCCTTGGTTATTACTAAGTTATTAAGCCATTTGGTTACATGTGGTTTGATGGTTTTTCTTTGGATGTCTAGATTAGCACTGCTTTTTGCTGAGCCATACTTGTTGCTCACCGTACATTTGTATGTGCCTTGGTCTTCAAGAGTGGACTTTTTGATAACGAGTGTACAGAGGCCATCATGAAAATGTAGTTTTGCACGGCGGTCTGATACGATCTTTATCTCATCCTTAAACCAGTCAATGACTAAATCAGGAGAGCCTGCTACTCTGCATGCTAATTTGATATCGTTACCCTCAGTGATAGCACGAGGCTTCAGCGGCTTGATAAAAGAAGGAGGATCTTCGCGTTCTGCAGCTGTGGATAAAATTAGGACAGCAGTTTTGGGGATATCTGGCAAAATTCTTTGTCTTGGTAAAATGGGAAAAATATTCCAAGAACAAAAAAATTTTTTTCAAGGCAAGCCTTCAATAATGGTCACCGAGAAAATCACTAATTAGCCTTTTCCAGTCTCCCTCCACCGGAGTTCGGTTGGGTACTAACTTAAGAAGGTCTCTTTTTTTTCGTGGCAGCAATATAACCAAAAAGCGGTCAGGAATCGTTTTAGCTAAACTGTGGCTTTTGTAATGTTACAAAACAACTATATTTTGATTATGACAAGAAAAAGAAAAAACGATGCAAAATCAAAAAGCTGAGGTGAGACGGGTCATTTGTAAAAACAAGACAGAAAAGCCATTTCTAGAAGTTATTTCCAGATCGACACCGATTATCCAGATTATATCATTTTGAAACATATTTATAATGGGATAAGGCGCAAAGAAAAAAAGATCTTATATCCATACCTGCGACTTTGATAACAAATTCGCTAATAGTTGTTCCAAGTTTAGTGGTGGACTCGCATCGATAATGACCAGCATCACGAAGAGAGGCCTCCAGAAGGGTGAGATAGTAACGCCTGCCTTCAGACCATAGTTTGCGCGTATCAGATGCAAATACCGGGGCACCATATTGAAACCATTTAACAGTGTCTGGGACATATTTGCCCTGGACTTTGATGCTCATGTCTACCTCTTGTCCCTCCTGAACAACGATTGGTTCTTTGATATGAAAATCAAATAAATAAGTTTAAAAATATGTTGACAGAAAAAAAACAAGTTATTGTTCTTTATAATTTGAAGATATACCGTGAGGAAACTGGAATGAGGTTGTCTTCAACGGCGTGTCTAGAAAAATCTGACATATGTGAAAATGCTTGTGCCATCGATGTCTGCTGGATGAAATGATAAAACGCAAGTCGCAGGAATCAAAAGATTTTGTGCCATGGAGCTCTACCAAGTATGAAATGACCGAATGTTGATGCCAAACACAATTCCTGATGCATTAATAAAAGATGGAGAGTGCGTGGACTTGGGCGAAGAATTGATGTTTTGGATAGGCAAACTGAATTCCAATGATAAAAGATGGAAAGTGCGCTAACTCGGACGAAGAATTGATGTTCTGGATAATGGGAAAATGAGCTAGTTCCAGTAATAAAAGATGGAAAGTGCGCTGATAGACAAAATGAGTTCCAATGATAAAAGATGAAGAGTGCGCTGACTCGGACGAAGAATGTTCTGGACAGGCAAAATGAGTTCCAATAGTGCCATGAAACGCCATGAATTTGAAAATAATACCGTGACGAAACTTGAATGTAGCGCAATGATCAATCGTAAAACGTAAAGAGCAACTTGTCATAGTATCAAAAACAGGAAGCTGATGATGAACTAAGGAACGGCGGCGATCATGGAATGATTATACGTTCAATATTTATGACTCCTATCTCCAAATAAAATCCACTTGCTATCATATTTTTCAAATTGCTATCATATTTTTCTAAATTACAGCATAACAATGTGTGTCAGCTTAACACAACTAGAGTATTCCAAAAAAAATTGTTAATAAATAATTATTCATTTTATTGCATTTTTATCATCCAATTATTAAAAAAACCTATCAAAAATAAAGACATATAAAAAATGAATAAATATAGAAAAATAAATTAAGAAAAGAATAAATAAATTTAGAAGAAATGATACAATTTTACACATCTTGTGCTAAACTACTAAAAGGGACTACAATATACAGGTACTGCATTTGCTACCAAATCTATTCGATACGTCCCTAAACTAGTATCTAACGGCTGCTTATTATGAATATTATTAAATAATAAATAATAGTAAATATTCTTTATTCCTGGAAATAAATATTGGCATGTATTGCAAGGAATGGATGATTGATTGTCAATAAATAATGATACGAACAAAAGTAAAATTCATGACATAAGGCTTCTTACCTCTGAAGATGATCCCTTTGTACGAAGATGCTTTGTGGTTATCGTTCCAATATGATCGAGGTTTAGTACAAGCTTAGTATTTATATGCACAACAATGACATGACCACCGACAAACATGATACGTCTACTAACATCACGTCAGTAACCATAATAAATGTACCAATAATAAGTGACAATGTTACATATCAACCACCATCACCACAAGTACAAGACAAATGAAAGTACGAATAAACAAGTACGACAATGAAATAAATAAATAGAGTAGTCGCGCTAAAAATAGGAGCCAAATATGTTATTTAAAATCCGCATGAAAAATTTGTGGCATAAATTAGCCTATTTTTGAGATCCTATAAAACTTGCTTTGTTTTAGTAAGTATAAACTCGAATACACTAAAGAAAAAGGCGACTACTCTTGTAAACCAAAAAAAAAAAAAACTAATGAAAGAGTATATAATCACGCACCTTCTTCCACAGGTGTTACTTGTTTTACAACCTCCACTTTCATCACATTCAGTTCAGCCTCAGTTGTTACTTCCCCGACGTCGTTGAAGACAACACAATGATAGACGCCAGCATCTTCAGGTTGAACTTCGTCGATGGTCAGCTGAAATACACCATTTACTTCCTCCTCTGTAATCACGAATCGTCCTTTGTCTTCTATGACTTTGTCTCCCTTCAGCCATTCGGCTTCTGGTTTTGGTGTTCCTGTTGCTACAACTTTGAACGTTGCCTTCTCGCCAATATCCACTTTTACGTCCTTGATTTGTTCCTTGATGGTTGGTGTTTCTCCTTTTTCGTTCACGAGCACCTCGGCAGAGGTGAAGACCGAACCGAGATCATTCGTAGCAACGCATCTGTACTCTCCTTCGTCGTCCAGCGTTGATTCTTTGATCTTCAGGGTGCTGGTCTTGCCATCGTAATCAGATTTTAGTCGTTTATCAGGTTTGACCGGTGCGCCATCTTTAAACCACTCGACATTAGGTTGGGGATTTCCAGAGATCTTACACACTAGGTTTACTTCGCTTCCTTCGGTGACTGTTATAGGTTTAAGACTAGTTTCAAGTGATGGAGCTTCTCCTTTCGGCTTCGTTTCTAAAATAAAAGGTAGGTTTTAATCCTTTCTTTCAAAACATATTTTACATTGTACTACTATAGTTAATATTCCAATATTTAGGAAAGACATATGTATAACAAATAATTCATGATAGAAAAATACCTTGGAATTTAACTTCAAACGTTCTAGATGCTTTGCCAAGTTTATTCGTTGCCTCGCACTTGTACGTTCCCGCATCTTCAGGCTTTGCGCTTAAGATGACGATGTAGTAAGAGTCGCCACGTGATCTGATGTCCATCCTTGTCGAATCTCGCAGGGGTTTGCCATCTTTGTACCATTTCACGTCTGGTTTTGGATTTCCTTTTATCTTTACATTGAGGTTTACTTCATCTCTTGGGTTCACCAGCAGAGGGCCTTGTTCATCTCCCTCGAATTCAGGAGCGAACGGCTTCTCTTTAACATTAACCTCACATCGGCATGTTGACTTTCCAGCATCGTTTGAAACAACGCACTTGTATGATCCAGCATCATCGACATTTACGTCTACGATGACAAAAGTAAAGTTGTCATTCTTTTCATCTTCTATTAGCGTGTACCTTTTTTCGTCGGTGATCTTCGTGGTTCCACGGTACCACTCGACTACAGGTCTTGGAAAGCCCTTGACTTGCACTTCCAATCGTACCTCGTCACCTACGAAAGCATCGACAGGCTTAAGTTTTACCTTAAACTCAGGTCTAACCAGTTCGTTTATCTTTAAAGTAGCAGTTGAAGACTTTGTGCCAGCATCATTACGAACGACGATCTTGTATTCTCCTTTGTCATCTGGGCGAGTCTGTTTGATTGTTAGAGAGGCTACGCCATCTTTGATTTCTGTCTTGACACGCCGATTCTCATGGACTTTAGCGTCGTTCTTGAACCATTCTACGACTTGTGAAGGAGTGTCAGATATTCTACACTCTAGCCTGGCTGTCTCGCCCTCAACCACTTCAGTTGGTTTCAGAGACTCCAATATTTCAGGAGTCACCTCCATCGGCATCTCTGTTGTAATAAAAAAAAAACAATATGTAAGGTACAGTTTATTCCAATAAAAGTTTTTAACTATAAACCAGTTCCACAAAAAAATTATGTACGCATAGCAGTCATAATAATTCACACACGCTTTCAACAAGATTTCATTTAAATTCAAGCCAATTTAAACCATTTTAAACATTCAAATAGAGATCAAATAAACCGCCTTAAAACAGACATTATTTGAAAACCTTAATGATAAATAATTTTAAAGTAACTAAAAATGAAATTTTTTTACCGATTTTCACAAACACATGAATTTGATACCATTCTTAGAAATCCTTCTGACCCTCGGTCCACTTCAATAATAAATATAAGTAAACAGGTTTCATTAAATTTCATTTCATTAAATTTCAAAAATCTGTTTCTATTCGTATGTCGACAAAAAACGTCGTTATAGAACGAACACAATTAGTGTTTCTAAATATAAAAGCACATTCTTTTTTCCGTTTTAAGCTAACGACTAACAAAATCCTAACGACAGATCCCCAACACAAACAAAAACGAGACTAGCCCTTTCTTTGGCCGTACAATGTTTCTAACAGGCAAAAAATCTGTTGCACTAAATATTCAAATAAAAGACTTAAAACCAAGAATGTTCACGAAAAAATGATTTGCTGATGACAATATGACTAAACAAAACCTTGTTATAAATTGTCAATGGAACTACAAGAACATTAAACAGATTACCATGAAACAGAAGCTCCCGCTCGATCGACAACCTGTTCTCCGCAGCCCCAGTGAGAAGACTAAGCACAAAGCATCACGGTTTGGGGTCAAAAGGCCCCTTATTAATATTGTCAACATTAAATTGAGGCTTAACAATCAGTTACGTAATTGTTTTTGGAGGATAGAATCGACAGGGACAGAAATACCATACAAATTTGAGTCGGTCCAGAAAGCTAATTCTAAATTAACCAATTTTTCGTAAGGTATGAAAAAGCTGAATAATACATTTTGAAAATATTTTTTCAATTATAGAAAAGAGAAGCAGAAAAGACCTAAATAACAATAAAAATCGTACATACAAAAAATATACAAAAAGCCCTTTGTTAAAAATACGAATACTTTATCTCCAACGCTTTTGGCAAAGATAAAAAAATGTACATTCACCAAAACGCGAGTTTTAAGCTTACTTTCAAAATTACCGGAAACAAAAAGACAGATTTAAGTCGACACGTTTTTGTTCTTTTTCCTCACCTTGCACTTCTTCCACTACTTCCGGTGCTACTTCAGTCTCACCAACAGCTTCTGGCTTAACTTCTTCTTCAACTTCTTTTTCCACTACTTTTAGGGTTGCTTCAGTCTTTACTTCACCTGCATCATTATGAGCAACGGCACTGTACACGCCAGAGTCCTCTGGTTCCACTTCGTCTATAAACAGAGAGAATACTCCTTTCTCTTCCTCATCATCTACAATCATGAACCGACCTTTGTCTTCGATGGCTTTGTCATCTTTGTACCAATCGACTTCAGGTGCTGGGGTTCCTTCTACGTCTACTGTAAACTTTACTTCTTCTCCAACTTCAGTTTCGATGTCTTCTAACTTAGATTTAATGGTTGGTGCACCTTCTTTTTCATTGACGAGAACTTCGGCAACAGTCGAAGTCGATCCTAATTCGTTTGTTACCACGCATTTATAATCACCTTCATCATCAATGGTCGTATCTTTGATAGTCAAGGTGCTAACTTCTCCATCGAAGTCAACCTTCACTTTTTTGTCGTCCACCTCAACAGGCTTATCATCCTTGAACCACTCGACCGTGGGTTGAGGTTTTCCTTTGACTTTGCAGGCGAGCGTTGTGTCTTGTCCTTCTGGGACTTCCTTTGGTTTGATCTCGGTAATCACAGCTGGGGCTTCTCCCTTGGGTTTGGGAACTAACACAAAAGAAAAAAAAAATTCAGTCAAAATAATGATGATATAAATTTCCGACAAAAAAATCAATAGAATCAGGATGGGTCAGGTGCTACTCTCCCAGCTGTGCATGGATATATTTACTCATCAAGAATGGAGTTAACGAAGCTCTTGCTTACCTTCCACTTTTACGTCATATATTCTCTCAGACACCCCCACTTGATTTCGAGCTTCACATTTATAGATGCCACTATCTTCAGGTTTTGCACTGTAGATAATTATACTGTAGTTATCTCCTCTAGAATGAACATCCAGTTTCATCGAATCACGCACCGGTTTTTCATCTTTGTACCATGTAACATCAGGTTTTGGATTGCCTTTGATTGTCAGGTCAATCTTCATTTCGTCGCCTTCCCGAATAACCATTGGTGCTTCGTCGGAGACACCAGACATCTCGGGGGCATACCGTCTTTCCTTCACAAACAACTCACCACGGCTAGTTACTTTGCCTGCTTCGTTACTTGCAACACACTTGTAGGAACCTGCATCTTCACGAACCACATCTTTCACAACGAGAGTGTACAAGTTGTCTTCTTCTTCGATTATTTCAAACCTGTCACCCTCTTGGATTTTAGTTGTGCCACAGAACCATTCAATTTCTGGTTTGGGTAATGCATCCACTTTGACAGTCATGCGAGCTTCGTCTCCTTCTGTTACATCCAGGGTTTTGAGTTTTACCATGAAGTTCGGTCGTTTTGGTACAATTACTTTGAGGTTCGTAATTGATGATGCTGTACCTAGTTCGTTGCGCACTACACACTTGTATTCTCCCTCATCACCCGATCTTGTGTCTTTGATCGTCAAGTTACAAGTTGAGTCTTCAACAACTAACTTAATACGTCTGTTCTCTTTGACGGGAACACCGCCTTTGTACCATTCAATAGTGGGGTTGGGTGTGTCGTTGAAAGTGCAAACAAGTTTGACCGGTTTGCCTTCTGTTACTTCAGTTTCCTCGAGTGGAGTAATGATCGTTGGAGCGTCACCCTCTGGCTTCTTAGCTGTGAAACGAATATGAAGAAAAAAAGTTTAATTACTGTCGTATTTACTTATTTGGTCATCTTATTTCTTCCCTTATTCATTTTATTCGACCATTCACTTATCAATAGTCCCCTTCACAGTTTTCTGCGACATCTTTAATGGTAGTCGTGCCTTGCATTAAAGCGAGACGAACGGTGAGCTTCCAATGATAGAGACATCTGAATAATTGTCCAAGGTGTTAAAAAAATATCTCTATGCCTAGGATCGGCTACCTTTGAAGATGGCGCAGGGAACTAAGAAAGGGAATATTGACACATCCCATTCCAATTCTTTTTTTCAATTTTGCCACATTTCATTTGTAACTATTAATATGTAATATCGAATATTTACCTTCGACTACCACATCATACGATCTACTTATTGACCCAGCATCGCTCTTCACTTCGCATTTGTAAGTTCCCGAATCAGACAAAGATACTCCTTCGATATCAATCCAGTAATTATCACCTTTGTCATCTATTACGATCTTATCCGTCTCTCTCAGCGGTTTGTCATCTTTTTTCCACTCTACTTCGGGTTTTGGTTGTCCTTGAACCTTTACTTCCAAGTGCAGGTCATCGTCTTCGACAATTGTGATAGGACCCGCCTGTTCTCCGTCAGTAAACTCGGGTGCAATCATTTTTTCTTGTACTTGCAATTCTGCCTGGCATGTAGCTTCGCCGGTTTCATTATTGGCCGTGCATTTGTATACTCCTGAATCCTGTGGTTGTGAATCTTCAATGATCAATGAGAACAGATCTTCTTCTTCGTCATCAATAATGATCGTACGACCTTCATCTTTAACTTTGTGATCATCTTTGAACCATTCAACGGTTGGCTCAGGTGTACTACTGACTCGGACATCGAAGCGAACCTCTTCGCTTGCCGTTACGGTGACATTTTCAAGAGGTTTCTTAAACGAAGGCTTCTCTCCAGCTTCGTTGACAAGTAGTTCTGCTTCTGTTGTTGCACTTCCGACCTCGTTCTTAGCAATACATTTGTACAATCCTTCATCATCCAGTTCAGTTTCCTTGAATTCCAAGGTGATGGTGTCTTTTTCGATGCGCGATTTGACCCGCTTGGATTCCTTGACCTTATCGTCGTCTTTGTACCACTCAATCTTTGGTGTTGGTTTACCTGTTACCTTGCACTCCAAAATTGTACTCTCTTTCTCCAAACACTCTACGTCTTTCAGAGGCTGGGTGAACTTTGGTGCTTCTCCTTTCGGTTTGGATTCTATTAATAATTAGATTTATTTTGTTAACAATTCTAGTTTATATATATTTTCTTATATTAAGGCGACATATATTAGAAACTGCGATTTTTAGAGACTAGTTTATCACCTTTTATGAAAGCAAAATGGTTGGTAAAAATGCAATTTAATCCTGATGCCAGCGCAAGAAGAAAGTAAAATGTTTGATCAATAACCATGAGCGGAAGTTGGCATCTGCGTTGCTTAAAAATTAGTATTAACGTCTAACAGATTCTGTGAGAAAAGCAGCTCTACTTCGCACCGTAATGACAACAACAACCTCATCATCGTCATCGTCATCGTCAATGTCACCGTTATCGTCATCAAAATCAACACCACCACCACCAACAACAACAACAACATGTGAATACTCACTTTGTACGTCAACAACGAATTCCCTGGTAGACGTTCCTTGGCTGTTTTTTGCAGTAGTCTTGTATGTTCCGCTGTCCTGTGGTTTTGCATCAGACAAAACAAGGGTGTATTCGCCATCTTTTGCCTTGAGCTTGAGATCTTTCGTGTCCTTCACTGGCTTGTTGTCTTTAGTCCATTCAACTATAGGTGCTGGCTTTCCTTTCACTTCGACAGTAAGCTTTACTTCATCACCCTCCGCGACATTGATAGGGGCTTTTTCTTCTTCGCCAACAAATTCTGGGGCGAAAAGTATTTCTTTAACTGAAAGTTCTGATGTGCATGTTGATTTTCCGACCTCGTTTATAGCAACACATTTGTACATGTCTGCATCGTCTTTCTTTACATCTTCGATGATAAGTGAGAAAAGATCTTCCTCTTCGTCGTCGATCAGTACAAACCTTCCTTCATCTTTGATTTTTGTTTTGTCTTTGTACCATTCCACTTTAGGTTGTGGATTACCAGTTACACGAACATCGAAACGAACCTCTTCCCCGTCTTTTGCCAAAAGGGGTTGAATCTTTTCTTTAAATTCAGGCCTCTTGAGCTCTTTGTTAACACCGACGTCAGTTGAAAGGGTAGCGGAGCCAACTTCATTTGTAGCAACACACTTGTAAATGCCCTTGTCTTCGATAACTGTAGGCGAGATCTTCAGCGTACAATTTTGTCCATCATACGAAGTTTGGATGCGCTTGTCATCTGTTATCTTTTTGTCATCCTTGAGCCACTCTACTTGAGGTTGTGGTTTTCCAGTTACCTTGATGTCAAGTTTTAGGCGCTCTCCTTCTCTTACTGTCAATGGCTGTAGCTTTTTCGTGAACTCTGGGGCCTCTCCTAGGTCTGTAAATTACAAAACAATTAGAAATTACGTTCTCATTGAATTTCATCCTAATGAAAAAAGAAAACTCAGTTACCTTTGATGTGAATGTCGTAAGTTTTTGAAACTGTTCCAGCAGGGTTGGTTGCAACACACTTGTAAGTACCAGAATCAGTAGGCTTCCCACCACGGATTGTTAGAGTGTGATCCTCTCCCTTAACTGACGTGTCAACACGTTTGGTCTTCTTTAGTGGTTTGTCATCTTTGAACCACTCCACCTTAGGTTCAGGTTTCCCAGATACAGTAAGGTCCAATGTTACATCTTTACCAGTATTTATGTCAAATGTAGATGTCTCTGGCTCTTTCGTGAACTCTGGAGCTTTTTCTTTAGGTTTTACGGTCAGCACCGCATTGCAACTGACTTCGTCCACATCATTAGCAGCAATACAAGTGTATTCTCCTGCATCGTCTAACGTAGCATTTTCGATAACGAGTGTGAAAATCTCTTCTTTCACAGCATCGATATGGACAAACCGACCTTCATCTGGAATAAGTTCACCATTTTTGTACCAGTCAATTGTTGGCTCTGGTATTCCGTCCACGTGGGCATCGAATCTCGCCTCTTCTCCTTCCATTACCACAACAGGATTGATGGTTTCCAAAAACACTGGTGCTTTTGGTTCTGGTTGGGCCGGGGCCTCAGCCACCTCTCCAATTTCTGCTTCAATCTCCACGAGTGTCTTTGGAACAGTTAGCGTCTCTTCACCTGAGAAGAGCAAGAAGTATAATTTCAATGTCACAATTAATAAGTACAATTTAGCAATTTTTCATTTTCAACATCATAATAATGATAATAACAATAATAGTAAAAATAATGATCATCATCATCATCATCATCATCGCCATCATCATTAAGCTTAAATTTAACAAAATGGTGCTACAGACCATGGTTCGAGACTGAGAACATCTAACTTTTCAAAATTACAAAATATTTCATAACATGTAATCCACATACTTTCCACGTTCAGTAAGAATTTCTTGGTAGTTGTACCCTTTTGGCTTGATATAACACATTTATAAACGCCTGAATCATCTGGAGCGACTTTCTTTATCTTTAGCTTCCCGAAGACGAGGTCTTTAGAAATTTCGGAGTTATCTGTGGGTTTGAAAGGTTGATCATCCATGAACCATTCTATCTCTGGAGATGGGTGGCCACGAAGTGGAACCTCCAAAAGGACTTCTTCTCCTTCCACGGCTTCAACTGGAACCTGAATGCAAGATCACAAGAATATCAAACAAAGAAAGAAAAACACTAAAAGATATCCTAAAGAAACAAAAAAATTAACAAAAGCAACAACCACAACCCCACGAAACAACGACAACAACAACAACAAAACAACAACAATCTTCATTATCTTCACGATTAATGATGGTAATTGAACTGAGTGGAGTGCAATTTGGTCTGAAATCAAACGCGCGATTACAAAATCGCACGACCGCGTAGCGGGAGTGCGATTTGTAATTGCAAGTTTGATTTCAGACCAAAATTGCACTCCACTCAGTTCAATTACCACTTAATCATATCCTTTTTGTAATCATACACAAGAAAAAGACACAATAAAGAGTGCAGAATAATCAATTCAATGTAGTAGAAGAACTAAATGCGAACAAAAAAAAAACATCTAAAAAAATTTATTTTGATTTTTTGGTTTTAGTTTGTTTTATTTTATTGTTTTAAAAAAAATTATTTTTTTAGGATGCGATTAAGTGCTCCTAAGGATGCGATTTGGGAATTAATCGCACTCATTTGAACCAATCAGATTGCAGGATTTGGTAGTGATTACAAAAAGGATATGATTAAAATCTGTATCAGTGTTTGCAGAATAAATCAACAATTAAATCTTACCTCCTCTAGTTCGTCTTTAAACTCGTCAGGTATCGTTTTTCGCGTTACGACTAAATGACATTTGCTCGTATCTTTGCCAGCTTCATTCATGGCCACTACACTATAATCAGCATCGTCTTCTAACTCACATCCTTCGATCAGCAATGAAAACAGCTCTTTGTCCTGGTCGTCAACCTCATCGATGATAATAAACCGCCCTTCATCCTCGATCTGTTGGCCGTTTTTAAACCACTCAACGACTGGTTCCGGATTACCAACGACACGTATGTCAAACCTTACAATTTCACCTAAAACATAAACCACGACATAATTGTTAACAAAAAAATACCCAAAGACGTTACAACCATTTGAATCAAACCAACGAAAGATGGTCGTTATTTTCTTTTCTTATATTCTCCAACAAGGCAATCATGTCATACGGCTTGCGAATAGCTGTAAATATTCAATATACTTTACACTTAACTAATCTACACCACTACTATATAGTCCAAGTACGAAAAACCGATTTTAGCTATCTAAAGGAAATGCATATATAAAAACCAGCGTTGTTAAACCTTTTTGTCATCACTATTGCTGGCATGCTGAACACACATTTCAGTTTGCTATCCATAAGACTGACCTTCGTCTGTTTCAAGACTCGTAAGGCCTTCCTTGATAACTGGCAATGATATGCCCTCCTCAATCACGATCTCTCCTTTGGTTTCAACGCTACCAGCAACATTGCTAACGATGCATTTGTATTCAGATTCGTCGTCCTCTTCTGCGAGTTCAATAACCAAGGCATGGACATCGCCCTCATTATCAAAAGTAACACGATCATTCTCTTCCATAGGCTCGTCGTCTTTATACCATATTACTTCATACTTGGGCCCAGCAGAGACCTCACACTCCAGCCTAGCACTATCGCCCTCGAGGACTTCTGTTTCTTCTGGTAATGGCCTTATTAAGACTGGGGCTGTTTGCAAATGGATTAAAAGAAAATACATTCAATTTTGGAACTTTCGTGTAGTCAGTGTAGACGGGGCAAAACAGGATGTTAACTTAATTAAAGAGACCTATATACCTTGAATAGAGGCATCAACAACATCTTCTCTTGCTTTCTTTGTTTTTTTCTCTGAAAAATATAAACATTTAGTATTAAGAAGAGTCACCCCATTTACTTGCTTGTTGATAAACGTTGTCATAACGTGAACAGTGCCTCCAGTTTGTATTTCAGTTGCATTGTTTTGATCATATCTTTACAGGGCAAATCGCCTAAAATTTGCAAGGTACCTGTGACAACACTTCACTAATATTTACAATCAATTTGAATACTGAAAAATAAAAGTTATTCATCTTCATAGTGATTTAGCATTTTGTTTAGCATTAATAGAGTTCAAAAATCGCTGAGAAGTAATTAAGCCAATGTTTAGGTGTAATTTTAATCCGGGAACATTTTTTTGTCTATAAGCATAAGTTCTTTTAGCGCCACTACGTATAGTTCAGTAACCATTTTTCATAATGTATGTGATAAATAAATAAACTACCAAAGCCTGCCATTAGTTTTTCTTTGTTCGAGCGTTAATTCTTCATTTGTGTGTTTGTGAAATTTTGTTGTTTGATTCATTTTATGCATTATTGCACCCACCTTCAACAATTACTTCAGCATCACACATAGCTTGACCGGCCACGTTCTCAGCCACAACTTTGTAGTACATTGACTCGTCGTCTGTTGTAACAGGTGAAATACGCATGATGTGTGTGTCTTCGTCCACGGTAAAGCTGTGACGATCATCGCGAATAATTTCGACGTTATCACGGAACCACGAGACATGGATGTGTTTCGTTCCAGTTACCTTGACACTCAATTCAGCAGATGACCCTTCGATAAGTTCCGTGTCTTTCAGAGGCTCGACAAACTTAGGAGCAGTGTCGCTATGGAAAAATGCACAACAGTTAGCTAAATTTCAACCCAGCGTACTTGCTTGTTTTTAGTTAGGGTTTTGTTAAACAAGCTTGAAGGCAAAAACTACTTACTCTTTGTCCACTTCTTCAACAGATAATTCTAAAAGCAAATTAAAACAAAATTATTGGTATATTAATATATTTTGGTAAATAACAATACACTGAAATTAAGAATGATACCTTCGACAAGCAGTTCGGCAGAAGTGCTCACTTCTCCAACTTCGTTGGAAACGAAGCAAATGTACAAGCCCTCATCTTCATCAATGTCTGTGTCAGTGATCGTAAGTGTGCTGCTCTCGCTGTCGGTGATAATGGACACACGTTTATCTGGAGTGACTTGATGACCGTCCTTCAACCATACAACGTTTGTTTTACCCTCGCTTACGAATTCCAAGACCATCTTTGCCGGCATTGCCTCGTCAACCTCAACTTCTTTAAGCTCTTTTGTTATACGAGGAGCTTCTGGTTTTCTTTCTGATGGAGCAGATTTGAGGTCTGAAAATGCATTTATAGGATAAAGAAAAACATTTTTTGCTTACGGAAGACAAGATCGATAAAGACATTCTAGGCTGTAATATATTTGAAAATAGATATTAATATCAAAATTTAGATTGGAAAATAAAACTTAATTTAATTAAAATTAATGTTACCTGTTACGATTTTAACTGTCGAAATCTCAGGTTCTTTCGCTTTGTCGCCAAATCCAACTGACAACTCTACAGGTTTGAAAGGTTGTTTTCCCGCAGGCAATCCCGCTTCTGACATGAACTGTTTGGGTTTCTTGTCTTTCTCAAAATCTATCGCCAATTCGACAGGAGCAAATTGTGGCTGTTGATCTTGAGGTATAACTACTTCTGATATGCCAGGTTCTTTCGTTGGTGCTTTCACATCAAATTCAAGAGTTTCACGTTCTCTTGGTTTGTCTTTGTCGACATCAATGGCCAGTTCAACTGGAGCAAACTCTTGTTTTCCTGCTGGAAGAACTATTTCTGAAATTCCAGGTTGTGGTCTTGAGACTGGCTTGTCTTTGTCAACATCAATAGCAAGTTCAACAGGAGCGAACTCTTGCTTTCCCTTTGGAAGAACTACCTCCGAGATTGCTGGTTCTTTTTGGACTGGCACATCGACATCAAATACAATTGTCTCTTCCCTCTTTGGTTTCTTATCTTTGTCAACATCGATAGCAAGTTCAACAGGAGCGAACTCTTGCTTTCCTTTTGGAAGAACTACCTCCGAGATTGCTGGTTCTTTTTGGACTGGCACATCGACATCAAATACAATTGTCTCTTCCTTCTTTGGTTTCTTATCTTTGTCAACATCAATAGCAAGTTCAACAGGAACGAACTCTTGCTTTCCTTTTGGAAGAACTACCTCCGAGATTGCTGGTTCTTTTTGGACTGGAACATTGACATCAAATACAATTGTCTCTTCCTTCTTTGGTTTCTTGTCTTTGTCAGCATCAATGGCAAGTTCAACTGGCGCGAACTCTTGCTTTCCTTTTGGAAGAACTACCTCCGAGATTGTCGGTTCTTCTTGGACTGGCACATCTACATCGAATACAATTGTCTCTTCCTTCTTCGGTTTCTTGTCTTTGTCAACATCAATGGCAAGTTCAACTGGCGCAAACTTGGGCTTTCCAGGGACCTCAACCTCTGTTGCTTCAGGCTTCTTATTGGGAACACTAAGAACAGAAGAAAAACTATATCATCAATCATAAGACTCTGTTTTGATTGGGCTAATATTATTTACCAGCTGAGCGGTGAAAGCGGCGCGCAAAGGATGAGTGGACAAAATGACCGGCCCTAATCATTTTTGGAGCTTGAAAGAACAAAGCAAACATGGCGATTAAGTGAAGTTGTTTTTATTCTTTCTTTCTATATCTCTGCTTCTTGTAGGCATGTATATTATATTTTAGTCAAAAAAAAMAAAAMAAAAAAAAAACAAAACAAAACAAAAAACAAAACAAAAAACAAAACAAAACAAAACAAAAAAACAGAAAAATACGCAAAACTTGGGTTACAGTAGCCTGGGAAAGAGGGCTGGCGGCAAAACTGCTAAACGCTCTGTGATTGGCTGAATCAAATTTCACCGATCAGCTGGTACTGCATGCTTGCTATAAAAATTTTTCTATGCTAAGAAGCCTGATGAAGAAATAATCGTACTTTTGATTTCTTCATCGGGATTTGGTTCGATAAACAAAACAAGCTATGGACCATTATTGCTTGTTTTTTTGAGGATGTCTACAAAAGGTCTTTCGCACTAAACAATTCTTATTTACCTTGGAGCGAGTTCTTCTTCTTCAGCCTCAGACACTGTACAAGAAAAAAAAAATTAGGTACTGAAAGTAAGTTTATTGCCATATTATACAGGTATACAATAAAATCCAAGCCGCTTTTTTTTTGTTTCACTAAACATCTCGAATCTAACGCCTACCTGTGAGGACCACGATTTCAGCTTCAGACACAGCTTTGCCAAAGGAGTTTGTGATGATACATTTGTATGGGGCTTCATCTTCAAGAACTAGGTCACTGATTACCAACGTACAGGTGTCTTCCGTCTCATGGCGTATTTTAATGCGCTTGTCTTCCTCGATTGGTTTGTCATTTCTGAACCATTCTATGTCCGGTTTGGGCGAACCGGTGTATCGCACTTCCACATCAAGTCTACTTCCTTCGACCACATCGATAGACTTTAAGGGTTTAGTAAACCTTGGAGCTTCACCTTCTGGCATCAATGCTGCATACAGAATTAAAATACAAGAGTTTGCAACAGATCATTCACGTGAGCCGTTTGATTTGATCGACTTAGTCATAAAAGATAAAATTGCTAAAAAATAATTTTATATAAATTTACTTCAAACAAAATGATCTTATAGAGTGGGAATTGTTTTAAATTGCTTTGTGAATTTGAGGCATTCTGGGTATGGCTTTAACAAACGTTTTTGTTTGTGATGTCCTCGTACTAAAGATAAAACCACATTTACATAACCGTCAGTGACAATTTTATTTTGCCACCGTTTAAACTAACTAGGAAACATTTCTAGTTGAAATATTATCCCAATATCCTATCCAATTAGCTGAAGAAGCAAAGTAAACTAGTGAGTCCTGATATCAATCGACATTTGGAGAAGGGCAGTGAATTGAACTGAATTATTACCTGAAATGTCGACGTTGAATGTCCTCGTGTTTTTGCCTGCAGGGTTGTATGTTCGCACTTGGTAAGGTCCAGAATCTTCAGGCCCAGCACCCTTAATTATAAGCCTGTGGGTATCATCTTCCTTGTGGATCACATATTTATCAGATCTTTCTATCGGTCTGCTGTCTTTGTACCATTCCACTGTAGGTTCGGGTGTTCCTGTAACTTGTACTTCTAGTGTTACATCACCACCGTCAGATACTTCTAATGGCGCTTGCTGATCTACGGCATTGAACTCTGGTGGACTAGTCTCTAATGGAGCCTCAGGTTGAACTTGTTGAGCCTCCATAGGAAATTCTGGCAGACTCTGAGGGACAGGGGATTCGTTGACAAGCAGTTCTGCCATAGTAGTGGCCTTTCCTAATTCATTTCTAGCTTCACATTTGTATTCAGCTTCGTCATCCAACTCTGTATTTGAGATTTCAAGCAAGCAAAGTTCGCCATCAAATTCGGCCTTTATTCGTTCACTTTCTTCCAGGACGTCTTCATTTCTGTACCAAGTGATTTTAGGCTTAGGTGTACCAGTTACTCGGCACTCAAGGCGAACTGATTCGCTTTCATATACTTCAACGACCTTAAGTGGCTTGAAAAACTCGGGAGCCGCACCCTCTGGCTTTTCTATTACATATGTAAATATAAAAAACAAATATCAGTCTGAACTTCAAACACAATTATTCACATTAATATTAGATAAAAATCAGTAATGACATAAATACCTTCGACAGAAACTCTAAAACTCCTTGCAATGGTTTCATCATCCGTTTTTGAGAGGCATTTATATACCCCTTCGTCATTGGGTATTGCTTCGGTGATTGTCAAAAAATACTCATCCCCCTTTTCTCCGATTTTATATGGTTCTTCATCTGCAATTGGTTTATCGTCTTTGTACCACTCTATCTCTGGACGAGGAGTACCTGTAATTTCTATTTTTAATGTTAGGTCTTGGCCTTCTATGATGTCTACTGGAGTTTCTTCAATGTCTGAGAGATTTGGAGTTTCTTTAATGTCTGAGAGGACTTGACGTTCTTCCAATGGGGAAACCGTCAAAACGCAAGTCGAGTCGGCCTTTCCCGCCTCGTTCATAGCTATACACTTGTATTCCCCAGCATCTTCCGGTTTACAATCCTCAACCACGAGAGAGAATAATTCAGGCTCTTTGTCGTCTACTTCGTCAATTATTATTACTCGGCCCAAGTCCTCTAGCTGCTGTCCGTTTTTAAACCATTCAACCACTGGTAGAGGATAGCCTGCCACACGTACATCAAAGCGTGCAATGGACCTTTCATTTACCTCAAAAGACGTTAACTGTTCTTTAAAAATTGGCATCGACACACTTTCCTCGACAATCAGTTCCGTCGTCATTGACGTTATTCCGCTCTCATTTTCAATCTGGCATTTGTAATCTGCTTCATCTTCAAGGCAAACCTTTTCGATTCTTAAGAGACAGAGTCCTTCATCAAAATCGGTCGTTATTCGAGGGCTCTCCTCCAAGGGTTCGTCGTCCTTGAACCATGTAATAGTTGCATCTTCAGCACCAATAACCCTGCACTGAATGGTCACTGATGTGCCTTCGACCACCTCAACCTCTTTAGAATACTCTGTAATTTGAGGGGCAGGCTGCGTACCTAAATAACAAACGTTCATAGAGAGTAAGGTATATTATCTATCGCATAGAGTTTACTCACCAAGTAAAATTATAAGATTAAAAAAGAAAATTGAAACTTATTTTTTCTTAATATAAAATATACTTAACTAACAGAAAGACAGACAAACAGGCAGTGCAACATAAAAATTGTCTTCCACTGGCGTTCTCAGTAAAATTTGAAATTAATGACGTTTTATTGCGCTCGCTTAATTAATTAAAGAACTTAAGTTAATCATAAATTCTCTATAACAGTTATAGAGTTATATTAGTTGTCAATAAACAGGTAGTGTGATAAGCAGCGGTAAGGTAGAGGAAAACACAACTGTATTTTTTTTTTCTTTCCTCTTGTGCTCCGACAAGGGACTATAAACGTCCTAAACAACAGTATACGTATACACTTTTTTCAACTTTTCCCCCTTTTTTTTTCGCTTATTTTACTTTTCTTGCTGTTCCATTGCATCAAAAAGCTAACAACGGGACGAAAAATCTCTTATTAGACTATTATTTCAATGCTGACAAAGTTATCTGGGCTGCAAGCATTTCCAAGAAAGTGGCTTTTTTTCCATTGCATCAAAAAGCTAACCGTGGGACGAAAAATCTCTTATTAGACTATTATTTCAATGCTGACAAAGTTATCTGGGTTGCAAGAATTTCCAAGAAAGTGGCGGTTCATCTCGGTGCGGTTAAATGGCACAACATGGCCGCGATGACGTGCAATCAAAAAATTAGCGCAACAACAACTTCCAGTTTACTCGGTTTTCGGCTTACTTCAATCAAATAAATAAAAATTCAGAACTGCAAAAACGATAAAAAAACTTGTGTCTGGAGCTGTTAGAGCTCTCTAAATCACTTAACATTATCATTCATTGACGTATTGTTAATGTTAATCGATTACAAATTTCCATATATCGATTGACTTGACAGTAGAAATAAGCAATTTAACCAAACATCAGTTACCTAAAAAGTGCCTTCTTTCACGTTAATTATAAAATATACAACAATAATTTCTTCATGCAATTCGCAGTCTTCGAGTGTTAGAACTAATAGAGCAAATCTACCTTCAGTGACTTCGTAAGAGCGATCATCTTTAGTTAAAGCTTCAATAACAGTTAAATCTTGATCTTCTATCTTGGCCTTCGTGTACTTTTTCTCGTCGACCTTCCATTCTACTGTTTCATCTTCGAAACCATTTATTTTCATTGAAATCTCATATTCGCCACTATCAGTTACGTTTACCATTTCGGTTGTTTCAGCCTTCTTTACAACGGTAGGCTTTTTTTCATAAACCTCTTCTGGCTTTACTTTCTCTTTGGGTTCTGAAGGCATCTCTTCCGCAGGAGTTTTGTACACTGGTTTATCAACAACTTTCTTTACGACAGTAGGCACTTCTTCATAAACCTCTTTTGGCTTTACTTTCTCCTCGGGCTTTGAAGGCTTTCTTTCTTCCTTGCCCACATCAGGAATGGTAAATTCTACAGTGGGCATCTCTTCCGCAGGAGCTTTGTACACTGGTTTATCAACAACTTTTTTTACAACAGTAGGCTTTTCTTCATAAACCTCTTCTGGCTTTACTTTCTCCTCGGATTTTAATGGCTTCTTTCCTTTTTTGCCCACGTCAGGGATAGTAAATTCTATAGTGGGCATCGCATCCTCAGGAGTTTTGTACGCTGGTTTATCAACAACTTTTTTTACGACAGTAGGCTTTTCTTCATAAACCTCTTCTGGTTTTACTTTCTCCTCGGGTTTTAATGGCTTCTTTCCTTCTTTGCCCACATCAGGAATGGTAAATTCTATAGTGGGCATCTCTTCCGCAGGAGTTTTGTACACTGGTTTATCAACAACTTTTTTTACAACAGTAGGCACTTCTTCATGAAACTCTCCTGGCTTTACTTTCTCCTCAGGTTTTAATGGCTTCTTTCCTTCTTTGCCCACGTCAGGAATAGTAAATTCTATAGTGGGCATCTCCTCCTCAGGAGTTTTGTACACTGGTTTATC